ATTTTATTCTCAGCTTTTCCCCTTTTGTTATCCTTTGTTTTCATAAGTCAGTTAAATATTTCTAGAACTTATTTTATTACTTTTTCCCCTTTGTTTTATTTCGTGTTTATCCTCCCTAGTCTTTGTTTTGCAAGTTCTTTCTTTTGATCTGTGTTTATTTCTTGTCTCTCCTGTTGCCTTGTCTGTGTGTTTGTCGAGTTGGTTCCTGCCCTGCTTCCTGAGTCCTCCCTGGTCGATGTGAAGAGTCTTCTAACCTGTCAGGAATTTTTACCATCTTCTGGGTCTAGCCTGTGGTTCCTTGAGGAGCTACCTAGTCTCCTTTTGCCTCGGAGTCAGGAGCTACCCCATCCCCGACCTGCCTGTTCTCCTGACGTGTGCTCTGGCCCATTGTGTGGACTGTCTTCCTGCCTCGTCCTCGTGTGTACCCATTTTGTTAATAAACTCTGTTTCCCCTGTTCATTCTGCGTTTGGGTCCTCCCTTTACAAACCGTGACATGCCCACTTTGGCCTAAATGTCTGCCATTCTTTTTGTTACCTTGTAAGGCTTTGTTTTTAAAATCGGGAAATTAGTTTGGCTGTAATGCTCAGACAACTTGCAAAATCGTAAAACCAACATGACAAAGAATCGTGAATTGTGATTTTCCTGAAAAAAAATCGTGATATAATATTTTTGCCCCTACTACTGGCCGATAGATTACTTTGATTATAGCTGCATGGGAAAGTGGAAGGAAGATGGTGAGAAACTGTCTCTGGACAAAGATGTTCAGCAATTATGGAGGCTACTGTAAATTATGAAATTCATTGGTTTCCACCCCCTCACACTGACACCTTGCAACATACTGGAAGAAATTTCATTCAAACACTTGGACACACCTTTCCTGTGAAGTTTTCGGTGGATAAGATAACTCTGTGCTTTCTCTTTCTTGATTAATTTCTTATCAAAGTAAAACAAAAATGCTGAAGTGTATGTGTTACTGCCGGACCAATGTATAATATATAAGTAACGCATCAGTTAACAGCTGATATTACACATTATTAATTTATTCATATCAGTCGATATAGGATGTTTAACTGAACACGCTCATATCCTCAGTTTTTACATTTAGATTACCTTTGCCATTAAACACACCCTTAAAGTTAACCATTAAAGGGGTTATATGATGCGATTTCAAGTTTTCCTTTCTCTTTGGAGTGTTACAAGCTGATTGTGCATAGATAAGATCCCTGAAGTTGCAAAGACTAAAGTCTCAAAACCAAAGAGATATTCTTTATCAAAAGTTAATTCTCTGCCATACCCCCCTAAAACGGCTCGTTCTAACACGTCCCCACATATCTACCTCACTATGTGGAAATATTTGCATAATGCGGCCCAAATGTGCACGCAAAGAAAGAAAGAAGCAGCCATGTCAGGGAGACGCTGTGTGTTTCTAGGCGAAAGCAAAAGCACTTTATTTGGCCTTCCGAAAGTAGATGCATTTAGGAATCTTTAAGATTACTTACAACAGAACAGCAATGCATTTTATGGACGACCGTTTCGTGAACCTAGGAGAGGAGGTAATTCTGACTTTGCTATGACAATCTGGCACTTCTGAATCAGCTACTGTTTTGTTATTAGTTTAAGTATTTGCTATTGACTGTTCAAATGCAGAGTTTTGCGCGCGCGAGAGCGAGAGAGAGACCCATCAAAGTGGAGTCAGCTGTCTTAACCATGGTTTGTGTACTGCAAACACATACCAGCTTCATCAATGTGTCTGTCACGCGACTCTGTTCCCCTTTTGGGCTCTGTCTTTACATTTATTTTGAAAGATGAAGCTCGCGATTATGGTAAGGGGCGTTACATTTCCGACGAGTGCTTGCGGTGTTCGGCCAATCACAATGCACTGGGTCAGCTGGCCAGTCAGAGCAGACTGCGCTTGTCGGAAGGAGGGACTTTGTAGAAAACGAAGCGTTTGAGAGAGGCAGGGCATAGAGGACCTACAATGTGTTTTTTGAACATTAAAGAATGTCAACATATTCTGTTACACCAAATACACAAAATAATGATCTTTAAAAAAGCATCATATGACCCCTTTAATAATTTAATAACACTGTTAAATGTAACCTTTTGCAGATTTCAACATGAATATCCAGTTTTCATACTGTACATTATAAACATGGTAATGTCTGAATTCACTTGTAGCCTTAATGATTTTCAATGTTTTGTGCTCAATTTATTTAGACAATATAGCAAAGCATTTTATTATCAACCATTCTTATATCTGTAATCTACAAAAAAATAAAATAAATTACTGGCATACTGGAATAACCTTTTTTAAATTCTTTGCAATGTAACATGCTATGTTACAGCATTGTGTACATTAGGGTTGGGCGATGTCTACAAAATTGGCATCGGACATCGCGATGAACGATGACATTAAGGGCGAGTGGAGAGAGGGGTGTGGGGGTGGAGTTAGGGGGTGTGCCCGAAGCATGAGTAAGGTAAAACACTATTCCTAACACCATGTCTACACCGGACGCGAGCGGCGCGACTAAATACTATAGAACCACTGATCTATAATAGAGATTTATTATATATAGGCCTAGATCAGTCTATAGAACTCATAATCAGTGATGCTGTCTACACTGAATGCAGTGCGGTGTCACAGGACACCCGACAGTAAACTGCTGCCGCGTTCTATTTATGATGTGCTGACACAAATTTCAAATGATTTTCAATGGTCGCTTCGTCCAGTCAGTGTAGACAGACTTTAGCTGATGCGGCGCGACACGACAACTGTCGCGTCTGGTGTAGACACGGTGTAATGGTTGCCTGTTACATTACAGTACATAAAATTTCACTTACCACATAAACAGAGTGAGGAGAGATGACTGAGGACAATGGCAAATTATTTGCAGATCCTCAGTACCACTGACAAACATATAATCTTGTCAAATGTGTGGCAAGTGCTGCCGCTCCATAGTATAAACAGAGTACGTGCGATCGGGAATCTCAAAAGTGAAAGTGAAACTAAAAGCGATCCTGCATTCAAAAGCATGATGCCAGTTTCAATGCCAGGTATAATAGCGGCTCCCTGATGCTGAAATATATATGTAGTATAATTACCCAATTATATAACTGCGAGGAAAATATTGAAATATATATTTTCCTCCCATCTCATATTTATTTCCTTTAGGGGTTCCGCCTACATGTCATTTTCTTTCTGAACACGGTATTGGGATGCGGGGGAATGGTTTTTTAATAAATCTGCATAAATGTCAACAATTCTGTGTTTTTCTGTCAATATGGGGTGCTGTGTGTACATTAATGAGGAAAAAAAATTAACTTAAATGATTTTAGCAAATGGCTGCAATATAACAAAGAGTGAAAAATTTAAGGGGGTCTGAATACTTTCCGTACCCACTGTATATGAGTCCTCATTCTTCTCAGTATTGCCTCTAAGCAAAAGCAGATACTAACAAATACTAGACTAACTTTCAAGACAACTTATACATGCAACCAAAACATGTCATACAAAATTTTTTTGACAAAATACATATGAACAGTGGCCGAGAAGTGCTAAACAAAATCACAATTCTGAAAACAAAATAAATTACAAACGCAAATGTTAGACTCTTGCATTTGTGTGTAATTTGTGTTATTGTTTTCAGAATTGTGATTTGTTTAGCACTTCTCGGCCACCGTAGAACACACATAAATTATACATACAATTCTGTAGAGTTTTATTCTGAAAAGAGTGACCACTAAAATTCATGGGCCTGAGACAACATCTTAATTGTTGGGCCCCCTCTTTTTTAGGCCCAACAAGTACACTACATCTTACATGATGACAGGGCCCAGGACAACACTACAGGTTGCCCCACACAAAAGGCTTTAGCATACTTTCTTCTTTTTTTCTAGGGCTGTCCAAACTCGGACCTGGAGGGCCGGTGTCCTGCAGAGTTTAGCTCCAACCCTAATTAAACACACCTGAACCAGCTAATCAAGCTCTTACTAGGCATAGAAACTTCCAGTCAGGTGTGTTGAGGCAAGTTGGAGCTAAACTCTGCAGGACACCGGCCCTCCAGGACCGAGTTTGGACAGCCCTGATCTAGACATAACATCGGAGACTGAAGCTCTGAAACCACAGCAGCAAACTTCTCATTATTATGTTTTCATTATCTTGCTCTCCATCTTATTTGAGTTCATTCACACAGCTTTAGGCAGATACAAATTGGTTGCTTAATGCAGACAGCAAAAGCGGAGTAAAGAATGCAATGCATTGCAAAGAAACTTCAGTGCACCTGCTTCCGAATCCTTTGCTCTTCCAACTCATTTAAAGGTTTCAGATCATCTCAGAGCTCACTTTCACCTCTCACAATATGTCTCGACCTTCTTTACCTCTCGGTTGTGTAGACAGTAGTCAGCAGACTCCCTAGGGCAGGGGTGGCGAACTCCAGTCCTGGAGAGCCGCAGCCCTGCAGAGTTCAGCTCCAACCCTAATTAAAACTCACCTGCCTGTAGCTTCCTAGTAACTGTTCAGACCTTGATTAGCTTGTTTAGGTGTGTTTGATTAGGGTTGAAGCAAAACTCTGCAGGGCTGCGGCTCTCCAGGACCGACGTTCGCCACCCCTGGACTAGGGGAACTAACAGCTTCCACCATCTAAACCAATTTAACCATTCACTGCACTCTTGAAAATTATTTAGTTAATCTCTGCTGCTATATATATATATATATATATATACATATATATATATATAGGCCTATATAAACACACACACACCAATTAAACAACTGAAAACTTAAACGCATCACTAAACAAAACATTTATTCCCGTTAACACCCGCATCTGTGAGCAAAGGATGTCACTAAACAAGTTAATTTCTCACAGACCATCATATAAGAACCTGCCACTGACATTTGGCACTTAAGTAAAAATACTTTTTATTTCACATCAACTTCTTATTAACAAAAGTAACTGTTAGTAAGTAAAATGCGTAAGCAAGAGTAATTAATTCCTACCTTTATGAATTTCTATCAGTGACAGAGGTGGATCAGCAGGACAGTGTGAATTGATATGAACGGTAGACAGACACAAGTGTCCGTGCGGCGTTCAGCCGGCCGCAGATGCGCTCCCTCGAGTCGCGCGGTGTCCGGAAGGGCTGAATTCCGCGCGCACTCTGCGCCAGGCGAAGCGCGAGCCGACTCCACCTCCTCTCTGCACAGTTCTACATATTCAAGTTATTTCCGGGAAATTATATTTGTTTGCTAAATGCTTCACACAGTACTCAATATAAAACATTTTTTTTTCAATAATTAGTTGTATTTATCTTTCTGTTATAAACTTGAATGAATCTATAGTGCTTAAGTTTCATTTTTGTGTTTGTGTTATCATAGTATTCAGAGTTTTAGAAAGATGGTGTGAAAACTCAATATTGAAAAAAATCTAAACGGATTTGTTAATGGATATCTGTAAAATGCGCTGCAGAACAATCACTCAGAGCATTAACTTATAAAGCATAAAACTGAGATAAACTCACAACAGGGAAGATGGCACAAGCAGACAACAAAGGACAACACAAATAAAACAACAGCAATAACAGTAGACATAGACAAATGAATTGTACAAATCACTGAATTATTCTTAATTTTTTTGTTTGTGCAGCCTTACTACATTTACTTTAGTGAATTTATTCAAAGATCAAATAAATGATTCAAATCAATAATTCACAGATGTATTAAATGCTGCAGGTGTTTATGCTCATACTTGTATAAATTAGTATTTTCTAGATGTACTAGTTGGTGATTGCAGCTATCTAGTATTTAATGTTAAAAAGTAAAAAAATAAATAATTCAGTTTAAGGATGTCACCCTAATACAGATGTTTATGTTCTAGATAAATGCTGTAATTGTAGAATTAATTTTCTGATATTAAATTTATAAAGATACTGTATGTTCAATGTAGCTAGCTTTTTTTTTGTTAGCAACTTGTAGTGGAGCTATATACCTTTTTAAAAGGATGATCACTGATGATAGCTGTTCATAACACTGATGATCTGTGTTTTTTACCTGTATATGTTCCTGGGTGATGATCCAGGGTCTGTGTGCAAGCAGTTTGTTGAGTGTCTGCAGGTGCTGTATTTTGGGTGGTGTACAGTGAAGTCCTTTAAGCCAGGACTCATCTCCGCCAGCAAGCAGAAAAGCAGAGCTGTGATGCTGCACTAGGTACGAGCACTGGTGACGTGCAGACGCCTGCACAGACACAGAAAATTACTGTTGTGTATATTATAAACATATACTCATTTGTGTATATTTAAAACTTGCAATCTAAATGTCCCAAACGGAAATATATGTCTCTTCCCTTACCAATATGATAATAAAATGTCTCCATGACAGAGGCAGAGGGCCATCCAGCTGGAGCAAAGCATTCTGTGTTCGCAGGAAGCAGGTCAGGTAAGTGGGATGTAGCCCCATCATCATGTTGATATGGTCTACATGTCCTTCTGACAACAGAGCCTCTGACATCACCTCCTGTGCTGCCCCTTCTTCTAGAATCTGAAACAAACATATGCAGAGAACTCATTTTTGTTCTGTAAACACTGACAACAATACTACATCTATCATCTAAAGATGCACTTTTACTGCTGCTCAGCACAAATCTATGGGCAAATTCAGTCATTTCAATAGGAATACACACGTTCAGGCATTTCAAATGAGGGCGAAAAAGTTCCCCGTACAGATTTCGCTCATGTTTAAGATGCTCATGTGAATTTGTCATGCTGACTAACAGTAAGCTGCTTGATTTGAAAGTGACTTCTGTGTGAGCAGTGTTTCAAACATCACTACATTATTGACTATTGCCAGTGAAATTTTGCATATAATGTGGCTGCACCTTAAAGCAGGGATTCCCAATTTTTTCTGTCAGCCAAGTTTTGACCTAAAATATTTACTTGAAGTACCTCCTAAAGTCCTTTAAATAATTTAACAACACATTTGCACATTCACAGTAGTCTTATGTCAGTTAACAGTCACATGACTGTTTTTATTTATCACAGTTTTAGTATATAATTCATTATTAGCTTTTCATCAACCTACAACGCCCCTGCATTCATTGACTGTGAAGACAAATACCACAAACATGCATCAAAACAACACACACACACCTCTTCAATTTGGATAAAGGCACTTGGCCCAGAGGGCAACGCCTGGGGCAGGTCAACTCCTGCTTCCTCCTGAGAAAAAGAAAGGGTGACAATAGACAGCAATAAAGATTTAGAAAATATAAAGCCCTCAGTTGTCCAGTTAAATAGTTTGGAAAAATATGAACCCTATCAGATTGATATTAGTGCATTCTCATATAGCTGGCACCAAGCTATCATATATTTCATACGTTTTATTTTAAGCTATACTTCTCGCCTCGAACCGTGCAGATTCCCTCATTAGAACAATTGGAAACCTAAATGAACATCCCTGGCTCAAATGGACCTTTATCAAGACTTTAAACTTGATCCCTGAGGCGTAACGTTATACAAACAGACAATACTAGACGCAGGCTCACCAACACAGACATAAGAGTGACTCGGTCAGACCGGATAAATGAACTCACCTTCATCTGACGAATATACGTGTTCAGAAGTCACAGTTTTAGCACAATAATGATGATGAAAAGTCTCGGAGGGTCTGTGCTCTATGACTTCGCTGGGCCTGTACGAGGCTGGCTTCTGGAAAGCAGGAAACGGCACCGGGAGGAGGCGTGGCGTTCGTGAACACACAACGCCGGATTCTTGCATCACCTCTCCGGCGCAGCATGACGCAACCCGCCGGTAACGGAGATCAGAGCTCCCGGCTCCAGCTGTAAACGGGTATACTGTGTTGACATCATGTATGACCTGCCTTTTTAGTACTGCTGTATAAACCAAAGTGTAAGCGAGGATCTTGACATATCTGAGGGCCTGATTCTTTTAGGGTTAACGTTAGGTAAAAATAAAACAACGTCTTGACGCTTTCATAGTTGATGAAATGAAAGTGGATGTTAGATCATTTTGGAAATATTATATTTATTCCTAAATCCATTTCAGACAATTTTTTAATTTGAGGCAGAACTTCATTAAAGCGATTATTACAAGTGTGATCATAATGATTACAATATAGAGACATTTTGGCATCTGTGCATGTCAATTCAAATTGGCGTCATCTGGGGTCCTCGCTGGGGTCAGCATCATCTCTTCAAAGGCGTTGGATCATCTGAAGTCTTCAATGAGGCTTGATCCACGCTGGAGCAGGCGTAATTTATACCTCGAGATGGGCATCCCGGGGTAGGAACAGAAAGGCAGATAGAAAAGTATTAGCATAGCTGCTGTTCATAACGTTTCAAGCAAAAAATATGTTTGTGACTTTTATCTGATCTATGGGAACAAGGGTGAGATTGAGATTCATGCGAATGCTTGTCTGAAGAGATAATCTAGATTTAAACAGAGAGAGTGTGTTTGAGCCCCCGACATTATCAGGAAGAATATTCCAGAGTTTAGGAGCTAGATGGGAAAATGATCTCCCTCCTTTAGTGGACTATCTTAGGTACTACTAAAAGTCCAGAGTTTCGTGACCTTAAAGAGAGTGATGGATTATAGGGCATAAGAAGATCAGTTAAATATACAGGAGCTAAACCATTTAGTGCCTTATAGGTCAGTAGCAATATTTTGAAATCAATATGGAACTTAATAGGTAACCAGTGTGTAGAGATGATAAAATTGGGGTATTATGATCATATTTTTTTGACCTTGTAAGAACTCTAGCAGCTGCATTTTGTGGCTTGTTTATTGACGATGCAGGGCAACCAGCTAGTAGTGCATTACAGTAATCTAGTCGAGAGGTCATGAATGCATGAACTAGCTTTTCTGTGTCAGAAACAGGTAACACACTCCATAGCTTAGCAATGTTTCTGAGGTGGAAGAAGGCTGTTTTTGTAACATATGAAATATGAAACACCCAAGTCTTTAACCGCAGATGATGACATAACAATACATCCTTCTAGTTGCCAATTGTATTCCAAGAGATTCTGTGTGCAGGTTTTTGGTCCAATAAGTAATACCTTACTCTTGTCTGAATTTAATAGAAGAAAATTACTGGTCATCCATTGTTTTTATATCTTTAACACATTCTGTCAACTAGGATAGTTTAGAAATGTACAGTATCTGGTCTTGTTGAAATATATAGTATCATCGGCATAGCAGTGGAAACTAATTCCATGTTTTCTAATAATGTTGTCAAGTGGCAGCATGTACAGTATATTGAAAATAACAGAAGGCCTAACACGGATCCTTGCAGCACCCCATAATTTACTGATGTTAACTTGGATTTTTCACCATTTAAGTAGACAAAACGGTAACGGTCTGCTAAGTACGATCTAAACCACCGTAATGCTTGTCCCTGAATACCAGTGTAATTTTGTAGTCTGCCTAAGAGTATGTCATGGTCTATAGTGTCGACACTAAGATCAAGTAATAGTATTGAGACACATCCTTGGTCAAAAGCTAGAAGTAAGTCATTTGTAATTTTAACAAGCACAGTTTCTGTGCTATAATGAGGCCTGAATCCTTACTGAAATTTTTCATAGATTTATTGACCAATTTATTTCGATCAAGTTGCGGTTTCTTAATGAGAGGCTTAATATCTGCCATCTTAAATGGTTTTGGAACATGACCTAGAGATAGAGATGAAGTAATAATATTGAGAAGAGGCTCTTCCGCTACAGGTAACAACTCTTTCAATAGTTTAGTGGGAATGGGATCTAGTAAGCATGTTGTTGGTTTAGATGTAATGATTAGTTTAGTTAGTTCTTCTTGTCCTATAGTTGTAAAGCACTGTAATTGTTCTTTAGGGGCAGTAACAGAGGCTGGATCATAAAACGCAGTCAAAGGTTGTACATTTAGAATTGTATTTCTAATAGTTTCGATTTTCTCTGTGAAGAAATTCTTAAAGTCATTACTACTAAACTGTGATGGAATGTTCAGTTCAGGTGGTTTCTGTTTATTTGTTAGTCTAGCGACTGGATTGTTTTGGTTATTTTCTATGAGTTTGTGGAAATACTCGGCCCTGGCTGCTTTAAGAGTCTTTTTGTAGCGGGATATGCTTTCTTTCCATGCAATTTTAAAGACCTCTATATGGGGTGGTTTCCATTTGCACTCTAGTTTACGAGTATCTCTCTTTAGAGCCTGAGTATTACTGTTGTACCATGGTGCAGTATTTTTCTCTCTAACCCTTTTTAATCTGATGGGTGCGACAGTATCTAATGTATTAGAGAAGATTGTGCCCATGCTGCTAGTTATTTCATCTAGTTCATTTGTGTTTATGGGAACACTGAGCAGCTGAGACAGATCAGGCAGGTTATTTGTGAATCTATCTTTAAAGTGGTCAAACATGGTTGCTGGTCAGTGAATTAATGCCTGGCTCAAACCATCTAGGAACCATAATAGACCAATTTGCTTAGCCTCAGAAACCATGAACAAAACTAAGTAAGGTTTAAAAAAACAGCCTCAACTATATTAAATAAGGGTTATGGGTTTACCATTGAACATAAAAATTACAACTGTGTTGTATCCAACATAAAAATTGGGTCTTAAAGAAAAAAGATATTGAAGTGTAATAGAGAAGACTCTATAGTTGATGAGAGAAAGCCTCATTCACTTAATCTACAACCTTTCATTACTGCTGAATGCTGATGTTATATAACTACAGCTGCTATACAGGTACATAGACCCTTATGCTTACACTGCATCCCTCTGTACCTGGGGCTCCTTTAATAACTATACTAAACATTTATTCTTGTGTAACCTTGCATTGAAGTGAAATCAAGCCTAAAGCACATCTGTTCGACACAAAAACAAGGACACAACAAACAAAGACACAGACACAAAATGGGATTTTATTGAATCAACACAAGCGTTATGTTTAACACTTGCCGAGTCAGTGAAAGTTTGCCTGTGAGTTACGTGTGCGTGTGTGTGTGTGTGTGTGTGTGTGTGCTTCATGGAGTGTTTTATTTGAGAAAATGATCAAACATTCACACATTTATTTCAAGTCCAATCTTATATTAAATTACCATTATATATATATTCCATATAAAATAATATTTTCGGGGCAAAATCTGGAAGAATGTGTTTGAGAAAGGTAGAATGAAGAAAAGCGAAGACAGAATGAAAACTTCACTGGATTTAATGTACACACCACCTCCCCACAGGGAAGACATTATTGTCCAGGTTGACATGTGAAGATCATCTCAGACCATATGGGTAGATTTTTACTCAACGCACACAGTGTTTTGTTAGGGGGGATGGCTGTTTGAAAATCAACACCTTCGGTTTTTATGGTGACCATAATTCGGAGCAAGCATGGTCAGGTAAACCATGGTCACCATCGCAATCAGTGCTCCATCCCCATAGACAATAGTAATGAAGGCAGAGTAGCAGAAAGAAATGGAGTGGAGGAGAGGAACTAAAGCATTAGAGTCAGAGGTCACAGGAGGTGTTTTTACAAGAAAAGAAAGGGATGGCAGTGTGAGAATTAGATGTTGGTGCCTTCTCAAACAATCTTGTTCTCCAAGGCAGCGATCCTTTTCGTCACAGCTTCCAGTGATGCTGTTGTCAAGGAAATAATGCAATAGTAGCATCCTAACCAGCTCTAAACATTTCTGATGCCTCATACATTCTGATGCTTTATACATTTTTGTCTATACCTACACATTTTTCTTTTAGACATGCATCAATACAAAAATGCTGGTCATTTTGATAAGCTGATAATGATTTTAATTTTTATGGATGATAACCAGTAAATGACCAATATTGTATATACTATATTTTTGATTGCTTGTACAAATAGGTGAAAACGAACATGCATTATTAGATTTCCAATATTGGCAGATATATATCCATTAAACCCAATAAAAATCAGCTTTTAACCAATATGGTTCAAATGTGTTTTATCTCAAAACCTTCTTAAAAAAGCACATCTCACCTCTCAGCATTCTATAAGTCAATATTGATATTGAGCACAATAGGAATTTGTGTAGAGTAAATGTTTAACCCGAACACAGGAAAGGATATTTTTCTTTGTTAATGCCTGTAGTGCCTCCTCCACTTTTTTCTGGAACTTGACAATGGAATTACATTCACAGGGATCTTCCTCTGCAAGTAACAGGACAGCAAAAACAAACTCAGTTGATGAAATGCTAGTTTGAAGGTCATATTCATTGTGTGTGTGTGTATGTGTGTGATTTTATTTACCTTGACAAACATTGATTTGCAGCTTCTTGGCAATTTGGTTCATGGTTTTGAAGTCAGCCGTGTAGAAGTAATGGTCAGCGACAGGTTCAGAGGCAATTTCTCTCAGCTCATACTCAACAGCATTGCCAACACCCACAGCATACATCTTAAAGCCTAAAGCACAGACATAGCACACTGTAAAACACTCAGAACTCATACACATTGCTCTGTGCATTGCATTTCTGTGTGTGTGTGTGTGTGTGTGTGTGTGTTTCCTAACCATTCTCCTTGGCCTTCCTGGCAGCGTCTCTAATGTCGTCTTGTGACCTGCCATCAGTGAAGACAATACCGACCTTTGCCACTCCAGGTCTGGCGCCCTGGTTAGGAGTGAAGCTGTTGTCCACTAGGAAACTGATGGCATGGCCAGTCATGGTTCCTCTCTCCATATAGTCCATCCTTTTCACTGCTTCTTTCAGGGCCTTTTTGTTGTTGTAGCGTCCCAAGGGGAACTCCTGCTTCACAGTGCTGGAATACTGCACCAGTCCCACATGGGTGTTTGTC